AGCTTTAGCAGTGAGGGACGAGGACATCAGCACAAACTCTGGCAATATGGGGCAGAAAAGACGGAGGTATTACTGAGCTTAAAGGGGCGCAATCAGAAGCATGGCGCTGCTGCTGACAAACGAATTTCCTCCTACATGTTGGACACTTCGAATGCTGCACAAGAAGGTAGTCAAAGACGTAACCATCGATTTTCTGGGGAGAGGTGTTTATTATTTGCCTAGGAAATTGAGTTCAGCCTTGGCTGAGTCGCCGTGTCAGTTGCAATCGGCTAATGAATTCAGGTATAAACTGTGACAAAGGGCTTAGCGAGGGCTTGGAGTTAATAGCTCAATTCATCTCCTAACAGTCTTTAGTATAAGAATCAATCTCTAATGTTAGCAGTCTGGTATTTTAGTAAGCGGGCGGAGCAGTATACAGGCCTACTAGCCGATCTTAGTAAGGTCAAGTTATTAATATCTACATTCTTTGATATCAATATTTTACACGAAAAAACCTAATAATAAGCTTACTTTAATAAACGCGTTAAGTAATATTATATCTTTAGCTTTAAAGGGTCCTCGGCTTTCTCAAGGCTTGGATGGACCAAAGAGCTCTATTTATCCAAGAAGTCCGTGAGCCTTGTGCCATAGGTTTTGTGATTGTAGCCTTTCGTGTAACCGTGTGACAGTAAATTACAAAGCATCAGGGACTACTGGCTACGCCTGATCACAAGCCCATAAGACTTTGATAAGTTCGCTCGAACTCTTTGAGGAATCTGCCCCACGAGCAGCCGCCTGTTTATGCAACCCGCGAAGTTCCTTTTCCGTTTCTTACGTTATAATGCCATAATACGATGCCTTAGCAGCTGATCTGCAAATAAAGTGTATCTAGCTAAAAAAAGGTATGCAGGGTAATAAAGAAGATGCATATTCTAATATTAAATCTTTACCTGTAGTTGTAAAATACATTAATACTGAAGAAATAACTTATTTTCCTTCCATAAGAAGAGCGGCGTTGTTTGTTGATGTACATTATTCTTACATTTCCGAATGTTTAATTAAAAAAGGATTTTATAAAGGTAAAAATTATTATATTACTAGGGCAGTAATATAAGGGGATATGTTTCAATTTGGTGGTAGAATGCGAACTTTGCACGTTAGAAGCCTAGGTTCAAGTCCTTCTTCGGATATTTTTGTTATTAACTTCTATAGCTTAAAGGTAGAGCTCTAATATTATAAAGGATAGATGTTCGATTCATCTTGGAGGTTTTTGAATTAATGTATAAAACTGTAATTTTTATTAAAAAAATATGTTATGTCTATTTAATATTTCAATTTTTGCTTTTTGTTTTTTATCTACTTTTTTAATTTGCTGAAGTAGATTATATTTAAATATAGGTCCTCCCTACATTTATAGATTTATGGTTACACCTACTTGATTTTTAAATATTTTATTTTTTATATTCTTTTATATTATTATTTCTTTATTTGTAAGTGATGATCAAATGTCTATTTTTTATCTTGCAGATAAAGATAATGGCAATTTTAATGTAGGAGAAAATGCTACTGTTAATATTAATGCCAATGGTGGACAGTTTAGTTTACCTATTAATCATATGAACAGAACAGCAGCTGCTATATCTGCAGCTGGAGGGGCTACGGCTGGTATTCAAGTAGCTAAATATGTAGCTGGTCCTCCTGCCGTTAAATTGGCTGCAGGTGTTACTACTGCAGCAGCCGTACAATTAACTACTACATTTATGTCTAAAGTTTTGGATAATGATAAAAATAATAGTATTCTTAAATTAGGTATGAGAATAACTTCAAATTCAGATGGGGACAATTTATTAAATAATTATCCTTTGAATTTATTATATGAAATTAATGGTTTATTAATTTGTAGTCTAATTTTTCTATATATTATTCTTAATATTTATATTAGTAAATTTATAATTTCTAAAGATTTAACAAAATATATATCCACAAATAATAAAATAGGAAAATATTTAATTTTCTTTTTAGAAAAATATTTAAATTTATGAAATAAAAGTAGTAATTATTTATTAAGTTTTTGTTATGTTATGTTATTATTATGTGTTATTATTTGTAAATTTGGTTTATACTTAATATTATCATAATAATTTTTATTTTATATATCTATTGAATATTCACCCATTAGATATATAAAAAGGGGGCTGCAGCAGGTATTGCAGTTGGTGCTGTCCAGTTAGGTACTGTAGGAATGAGTAAAATTTTAGGCAGTACAGATACTAAAAATAGTAGTAAATTGGTCGCTAATTTAGTTGAAGAGGGTTCACTTAATGATTATCCTTTAAATTTATTATATGAAGTTAATGGTTTACTTATTTGTGCTTTGGCTTTTATATATATTATTTTTAATATTTATATTAGTAAATATATAATTAGTAAAGATTTTGTTAAATATATACCATCTTCAATACAAAACAATAAGATAGGTAAATTTTTAGTTTTTTGGTTAAATAAATATTTAAATTTGTGAAGTAAAAATAGTAATTATTTTTTAGGTTTTTGTTATGTTATGTTATTGTTTTGTATAGCTATGGCTAAATTATTTTTATTCATAATATTGTCTTAATAATTTTTATTTTATATATCTCTTTAATATTTGCTCATAGGGGATATAGTTTAATAGGTAAAACTGCGATTTTGCATATCGTTAATTCGGGATCGACTCCTGATATCTCCATAAGCTCGTGAAGCTCAATTGGTCTAGCAGAACGTTGAGCTTAAATCTTATAGTGAATTAAATTAATTCGAATTAAATCTCAAAATTAGTTAAGGTCAGATAACTCTGCTATACCTAATTAAGGATTAGATGAAGACCCAAAGAACTATAATCTATAATTTATAATAGAGTTTTGTAATGGTTTTTAACACCATGGCTCATAAATTCGAAAGAGTGAACAAGGGCATAATTATTTAACTTTAGACAATGAAAAACACAATTAATAATAACATAGTACCCGAAAAACATATTTTAATGCAGAAAGGGACAAATTTATTCTTTATAAGGATAATAAGAATAAATCAGGTATATACCTGACCCCGGAGGGTACGAAATAATTTAATTACAAATAAAAGTTCTATAGGTTCAGCTAAATCTATTAGAGGTAGATTTAGCATTTATTATTCTACAAATTCTGTTCAGCGTAAACTAGCTGAAGGATCTAGTGCTATTTACAATACTAAAATATGGCTATTCTAATTTTTGTATTGATATTTTAGAATATTGTGATATAAATAACTTAATAGAAAGAGAGCAATAATATATAGATTTATTAGAACCTGAGTATAATATATTAAAAATAGCTTATTCTCGATAATAAACATACTGAAATTACCAAATCATGTATAGGGTTAAAGTCTTTAGGACATAAACATACAGAAGAGGCTAAATTGAAGATGAGGGAGATAGCTGTATTACGTAAAGGTGAAGAAACTTATGGTAAAAATCATTCACCTGAAAGCCTAATAAAAATGTCAATGAACAGATCTATTGAAGTTAAAGTTCTAGACACAGTATTAAACGAAGAGAGAGTATTTTTAGGTAATAAAGAAGCAGCTCAATTTTTAAATGTAGGATTATCTACAAGATATAAAAAATTAAATAAATTAATAAAAGAAAGATACCTAATATCTAATAAGCTCGTATAACTCAATCGGTAGAGTGAAATATTGAAGCTATTTTTGTTGTAAGTTCAAGTCTTACTTCGAGCATAAGGAACTTTAGTATAATGGTGAATGCGTATGACTTTTAATCATTAAAATGTAGGTTCGATTCCTATAAGTTCTATTAGAGTAATATCAAAAAAAGTTTAATGGATGTATACTTATCCTATATAAAATGAATAGTAAAGGGTGTTATGTTTAATAAGTCATATATTAAATAAAATAAAAGACTATTATCAAAAATATCATGATAATTTCATATAGTTTATATAAAATTATTAAAGTTATCATGAGAAGTACAACCGTGAAATGCATGTCCACAGGTATAAATATATAATCTAAAATCCAGTTATATTTAAATAATAAATATGACATATTTGAATTTTTTTATAATAATACCCTTATCAGTTTTTATATTTTTTTTTGTTTAGAAGGATACCTAGGTAAATCTATAAAAAGATTAGTTTCTAAAATTAATACAATAGAATTTTTTCTATTTTGTGTGTTAATTTCTGTTATCTTCGTAATTATATTTCAATTTAATATTGAAGTAGTGTATACTTTGGATGAGGAAGGTATAAAAAAAATAGCTGAAGAAACGAAGGATGTTAACGTAAACACTAATGTTAGTATAAATAATCCTAATATAAATTTACCTGATTCAGTTTTTAAAGGACTTACTAATCTAGGAATAGCTGGTAGTATAGGAGCAGGTATGTCTAGTGCAGCTAAAGTTGTTAATCTTCCTCATCGGGAATAAAGATAGGTATAATTGCTGGAACAGGTTTAGCTACAGGTGGTATAGTAACAGCAACTAACACTCTTAACAGTATTATAGATAAAAATATTAATAATGTTTATGCTAAAGACGTGTCTAAATCAAGTACTTCAGATATTCCTAAACCAGGAAACGATGGACCTGCAGCTTTTTCTATTGAACCTTCTGCGGATCTAGATACAGTAATGGCTTTATTAAATGCTAATTACATTTTACACTGATGTGTATTATGATTTATATATTGTATATTAATTTTACTTTTAGCCAATAAAGTTGTAAATAATCAATGAAAGTTAGAATTTTTAAAGAAGATTTTTGGTGAAAAAACTCATAATTTTATAATAAAATCTTTAAGCTTAACAAGTAAAACTAATAATGCGTTCATAATTTTTGGATTTGTAGTTCTTATAATAACTAGCATAAGTACTTTATATATATCTTATTTTTTTACAGAAAATATAGATATTATTACTGATATAGTTAAAGAATCTACAAAAAAATAATTATAGTAAAAGTATGATTTTTACTATAAACAGATATGCTGGAATGGAAGACAGATTCGATTTAGGTTCGAACGAGGTAATTCTCATACAAGTTCAAGTCTTGTTATCTGTATTCTAGGGAAAATTTGCCCTTTTTAGTAAAAAATGTATCTATTAATTTAGATATAGGCTTTAAATTACTAGGCTCCGCCTACAAAAAAGTGCCTTATATAGATGTAATGAAAACTGGGTGAACCTCATTGTAGCTTAGTCGGGGAGTAAGTAAAGTAAATATAGGTAACTGTTTTGCGAGTTAGTAAAGTAACCTTTCATGTTAAAAATATGACTGTTATTAAATACGTAATGTGAGAGTTATTCTTATGTAGAATACATGTTCCTATTTCTACATAGGTAAAGATATTTAAACGAAAAGGCTGAAGGACTGCGTGGACAGTGGCGAGTGAACAAAAGCATTAATAAATATAAATAATAATAATAATGAAAAATATTTTTAAACAAATGCAAAATTTAGGATTATTTGCTAGTGGTATTGTATCACATCATTATGGTAGTAAATTGTTAGATTCTAAAGAGAATTCTGAAGAATCTAAAATTCAGGCTGAAAGAGATGCTAAGTTAGATGAAATTGCTACTAATATTAAAATGTTAAAAGATAATTGTAGTACTATTTCTAAGAATGATTCTTTTAAGAATAATATCGAATTATCAGATGATAATATATATAGTTTACAACAACAACTAAAAATAGCTGAAGATAAAAGTAAGAGTGTTTTAGATTCTTTAAATAAATATTCTTCAAATTCTGATTTAAGTAGTAATAAAGAGAATTTACATAAAGAGGTTACTGATATGCTTTCTGTTACTGATAAGATTAATAAGTTATTGGATAGTTTTAATAATGGAAGTGGAAAAGGTAATAATTTTATGCCTAATTTAAAAGGTTTATATGACTATCTTAATAATATGAGTCTTTTAGAAGAAGCTTCTTTATTACATATATTGTTATTCTTAGTAATTATGGTAACTGTTTTTAACATATTAGTAGCATTATTTAGTAATGAAATTGTAAAATATTTTAATTTGGAACAAAAGTATCCTTCTTTAGATGCTTTTTTTAAATTGCGTATTAAATTTCAAAGATATTATTTAATATGAAATATCTCTGTATTATTTATTATATGTTTAGGTGGTATTTGTATAAATATTTTAGCAATTTATTGTTTAAATTAGTAGTTAAAAAAAATGTGGAATTATACAATAAGGAATCTGGAATATTCTTAGTTTATTATCTTATAGATTTTAGTAGAAAACAATAGAATATATATATATATATAAAGAAAAATATTGATAATATTGATGATAGTCAAAATAATCTATCTAAAGCAAAAGTATAAAGACCATTAATTAATGGTTATGAGTTATAAAATATTGTAATTCATAAGGAAGTATAGTATAAATAATTACGATCCATATAAATTGATAGATCTGGATGAAAATTCTAGTGCATCCCTTAATATATTACTATTAAGGCTAAGTGGCTAATTATTTTAATATAAGGTTATCTACATTACATAGGTAGCCTAATCTGGAATAGTCTAATAGGTAGGACATAAATTTTTGATGTTTAGCAGTGAGTGTTCGAATCACTCTTCCAGAATAAGTAGAGAAATATTGGCTCTTTTTTCATAAACAAATATATAAAACATGAATAATAATAATAAAATAATACCCGTTATATCTTATAGTAATCCTTATGAAAATAAAAGGGAGATTTATATGAATAATAATAATAGATCTGGTATCTATCTGACCCGGAGGGTACGATATAATTTAGTTAATAATAAGACTTATATTGGAAGTGGTTATAACTTAAGAAATAGATTTTATAAATATTTCTCAAATAGTCACATGCTTAATGGATTATCTAATTATAATAGTAATATATATAAAGCTTTATTAAAATATGGTTATAGTAATTTTAAATTAGAAATATTAGAATATTGTGATAATAAGGATTTAATACAATTAGAACAATATTATATTGATACACTTAATCCTGAATATAACATATTAAAAACAGCAGGATCTCTTTTAGGACATAAGCATTCGGCTAGAACTATAGAAAAAATAAAAAATTTTAAACGTAAGCCTGAAACTCTAGCTAAGATGAAGCTTGCTAAGGAATTATCAGGAAATATTACAATAATAATAAACAAAAAAGATAATATGATAAAAATATTCCCTTCTGTTCGTAGTGCCGCAAGATATTTAAATACTTTTCATCCAAGTCTAGAATATTGTATGAAGAATAATACATTATTTAGAGATACATTTTTAATTATAAAATTGATCAGGACAAAATATTAACATAAAATCTAATAGGTAGGACATAAATTTTTAGTCTTTACTAATGAGTGTTCATATCACTCATTCCCCTTAAAAGGTGGTTATAGTTCAATCGGTAGAGCAACTGTATGTGGCACAGTAAGTTCTTGGTTCAAATCCAAGTATCCACCCTTAAGCCTAGATAGTTTAACGGTTAAAACACCGACCTCATATGTTGGTAATAAAAGTTCGATTCTTTTTCCAGGCTAGCTAGTTTAGCTAAACCCTTGAGGGTGTAGATTTTTTTAATTAATTTAAGTCATGATAGTTTTATCAATTATTTCTCTTTTACTTTCAAATGCCGTTAATTTGAGACGTGACATATCTATTTTATATAATAGAATAGCTATGATTATATTAGCATATTGTATTTTAAATGATATCGCCTCTTTAAGTGTAGTTACTAAAGGTATAGCTCTACATGGCAAATTCCCCTGGAACCGAGCGCAAATGGAGGAGCCAATAGTAGCAGTTATGAAACTTACCTTGCCGTCAGGCTAGATACGCGGGATATTCTAGAATATCTTACCTGTGAAGTAGATACTAGAAAGTCTTCCACGCGCCATATGCCCCATGGGAGGCGGCAGCACGAGCCCTCCCATGGCACTAAGAATATCATTCATTTATTCTCGCTCATCTCAATCACCTGCACTCCCAGCTCTTCCGCCGCCTTCCACCGGCCTTGGCTCCGATAAGTCAACGCCAAGTAGGCCATGCTCGTCAACGTAGACCTGTCTCGAATCTGCACTCTATGCCTCGGTCGCCATTGCGTCGATACTGGGGCTCGGTAACTTCAAGAAACTGGCATCGTTTACGTTACTAAGAACCATTACCCAAGTTCATGTCCTCTAGTCCTAAAGCCAGTCGTGCACAAGCGGGAATGCATTGGCTTTTTGATTCTGCCGTCCATGAACCTCAATGCGGGTCGCGATATCTCGAAAGCTCCGCTTGACCGAGCAATGTTGCCAGCATAGGCCCAGAAGATTCAGTTTTCTGAAGATCACTATCGAGTTCAGAGTGCATACTCGATGGCTACCTGCTACTTACTTCATGCGGGTAAGCGACCTTCTTCCTGGAAGCGACCAACGTGTTGGGTAATAGACCTACCCGACACCGCCAACGCCGACAAACGCAATCCGCGACCCTGGCCGTCCACAACTTTCTCCGATCTGGGCGAGTATTTGCCCCCGTTTTACGAAGTCTTTGTCGCGTGGGAACGAAATCACGATTGACGGGTTTTGCGGCGTTTCTGGTCGGTCTGTTCGTTGGTCAGTGATGGAGGCGTGAATTCAATGCCTGCGATGGGCACAACGGATGCTGCGTAGACGATTGCTTGCTTCCCTCGGCTGAAGTTGGCCCTGCTTATTGGAGTCCGTGGCGGGATTCCCGAGATCAAAGTTTTCGATGTTTTCCCGGGTGATGCCGTCATCAGTAAATTGGGCATTCAGTTACGACTACGGACGATAGTATCCAAACCATTTCGAGGCGAAATATCGACGACAAGCAATGGAGGGCTAACAAGGACATGCGAGGTCTTCTGCTCCGTAGCGAGCATCGAGACGGAGTTTGGACGCGAGAGGCAAAAAGCTGTGGAGCCCTGCGAAAAAAAGACCCCAGCTGCGATTGGCTTCGCACACTGGGGCACTGGGGGAAATTAGGGCCCGCTTCTCTTTGAAGGGTCGCTGTACCTGGGCGGGTGATAAATTCATGCCAACAAGCTGGCTACTCCCTCGACTTGAATAACGTCCCGGATCAGTACATGCCAGCAACTTCTAGATTCTATCCACCCTAAATGCGACAATCCTTTCGGTGGCTTTTTTACTCGCTAGACAACGATATCCTCAGCATGCGTGCTATATTCCACCACTGTCTGCAGAAAATTGGATGGCGCCACAGAATCAAGCGGACGTCTGGCGAAACTGCAGGCGCAGAACATGCCCAACGTAGAGAAGAGTTTCTCATCGACCATTACACGCCGTCTCCCGAAGACTACCCTGTCTTTCCCCCGCCTCCTCCAAGGCTTATGATAAAGAACCGAGCTCAGTATTGGGATACAATCGTAGCGAGGAAATTCGGAGCACCTCAAGGCTATTTCGAGGATTCACCCCTCTTCGCTCTTTATAGGTTTTATGAGTTCATTGTCCTAGATCGGGCTCTTGATTATCGTAATACCCTTGAATCTTTCTGGCGACAACGCGGATGGGATGTTCAAGGTATTCCAGATCCACAAGACGATAATCTAGAGAGGTATGCCTTCCTCGCAGGCTGTACTTACCTTCTTGCACGATCCTTTAACCAAAGGGTCAAGCTGGGCCTCCAACGAGATAATCCCTCTTTGATCACGCCGGAGGAAGCAGAGAAGGCCAGGAACGTCCCAAACCACCTCCGCCAGTGGGAAAAGGTCCCGGAATGGGCAGAAAACGTGGCGCCGTTGAGGGACACTCTAGTACTTCCAACTCATGATGGAGTAGTAATAAAGGATAAAGATGACCCTAGAGCTGACCCAGACTTTATGGCTAAAAACATACTGCTCTGGACACCTCACATTTTTTTCACATGAATCGCTACAGCAACCGGCCAAGGCGGCCTCTGAGCTAGCCTTGTGACTTGCCATTTCAAAAGATTGGCAATAGCAGTCAAGCAGCAAACCTCATACTCTTGACGAACACGTCCCTCCTCTCACGCAGACAAGACACGCCGCTGCTTCAACAGGGTAAAGAAACTAAATGCCCCAATTGCAAACCCACGATTACAGTCTCGGCAGGCATGGGGCTGCTTAGTCATATGGCTCCTGTGCTGGAAACGGTTTCCAAGGACCAAGACCTGCAACCACAATCGACGTCCCGAGACATGTCTGGTTGTGCTTGTCAAATTCGATCTCGCACGCACAAAGCACTCGAACATGCTCATGACCAAGTCCACAACGCTTTGTGACACCAATGGCTTCTGCAGCCCAGCCTCATACTAGGATCAAAACTCGCGGGCAACGGATGCGCAGAGTCGCTGATGCCCTCCTCAAAGCGCATCAAGCCAACACCTCCTCAGCACAACCAACGACAACGCCAAAGACATGTCCCATTCGCATAGTCTGTATTTCTGACACCCACAACAAGAAGCCAACGGTGCCCTTGGGCGATATTTTAATTCATGCCGGCGACCTAACAGAAAACGGATCTTTTGAGGAGGTGCAGAATGGCTTGACGTGGCTTTCATCGCAGCCGCACAAGTACAAAATCTTTGTTGCAGGCAACCATGACGTCCTGTTAGACGACGGGTTCCTTGACAATCATCCAGAACGACGCTATGGGCAGAGCAAGACTAAGCAAGACCTGGACTGGGGAAGTGTAATTTATCTGCAAGATTCCTTCATCACTCTCGAGATTCCCGGGAACCAGCAAAAGCAAGAAACACCCACAGATAAAGTCGTTGAAGGGCAACCCAGCATGAGAAGCATCACCATTTTTGGCAGTCCATGGACGCCTCGGTACGGAATCTCGGCTTTCCAATACCACCCGAACAATTCTCGACATTGGAAGGATACTTTCGCCTCCCTAGATAAGAAGCCGCATATTGTCGTCACTCACGGCCCGCCGCACCTTCACCTTGATGGACGCGACTTCCACCGTGCTGGGTGTCCATACCTAGCAGAGGAAGTTCACCGCATCCGACCTCGTCTTCATGTATTCGGCCATATCCATGCGTCGTATGGCCTTGAGGATGTGATGCTGGACAGCGTACAGAGAACGTATGAAGAGGTGATCAGGGGCTGGGTAGGTTGGGGTGGCATCGTACGGATGGCTATTATGGTCGCATGGGCCAGAGCGAAGTATATTTTCAGAGAACCAAAAGCGGATAAGAACGTAACATTCGTCAACGCTGCGGTAGTGGGGGGTCCTCATAATGAACTGCAAAATGCTCCAATTACTATTGATCTTTAGTGTGTCGTATTAGAAAGTATATTAGGCTGAAGCTTGTTATTTTCTTGTATTCAAATCCGTCAAAGACGTATAATTCACGGCGCCTTACCAATCCACCCAATAAACTGAGTTGAGTGGCTTCCAACCATGTATAGAGTAGACAGGTTTACAAGCACAAGGACCATAATTTTCTCCCTAAATACGACAGGGGGGTAGGTCCAATATAGTCATTACTATGACTTGTCAATGTAGACCGTAGTTAATGCTACGAGCGATATCGTTATAATTGGCACTGCTATTTTCCGACTCCCGATTACGTCCTAGAATTGGGTATTTGCCGCCCGCAGCTAGCAGG